CTCGTATACTGGAACGATTCTCGATGATCCCATGGACTCTCTCTTAAAAAGCTTAGAATCATCACTAACCGAAATTGATCATAAACGAACTCAACAAATAATTTTTTTTGTTAATGATCCTTATAACTTTCTAAGGTTAGATCGAAGAAAATCTGGTGACTACATAATCAGGTAATGATTCTCTACTCGGTAACATGGTACTCGTAAAAACGAATTTTCACAGTGTTCTACCATCAGAAAACTGCATTGTTTGATTTTTCAAAACGCTTCCTCTCATAATTGATCTATCAAACTTTTGCATGATATTGATTTGATATAGAAGTTTACTAGCGATTGAAATCCGTATTCGGATTTAACTGAAATGGTTGTTATGCTATAAAAACGAATTAAAAAATAAGTTGTTCACATATTTTTAATTCGTACTATAGTTTATAGCTGACAATGAATATTTTTATCTTTTAATAAAGCTCTTGTTTTTATTTAATATCAGCTCAATATTATTGCCTTCTTACTTGAATAAAATAAACTTTATTTAGCATAATTAATATTTTCACTCGCTTTTCTCCGAAAAAAATTCCTATTCTTGCTAATTTATCAGTCTCCATTCAGATGGAATCAAATTATCAAAACTGACAACATTGCTACCAATCGATTTATGAATGTTCGTTCAGAATTGTGAATAAAAATTCATGCAAAAACAAAAGCAAAAAATTATTTTTTAACATGATTTAGATCGGTCACAATGTAAATATTATTGTTAATTTAATCGAAATACGAATATATTCGATATTGCTCTATTAAAAATTTCACGATATTCTCGTTTGCATTTCCAAATTATTCAAACGATTATCCCTACGAATGAATTCATTTTTCATAATGAAACGTCTTTGCTAATTTGTTTATCAAAAAATATAAAATGACACATAACACTTATAAACATATCTCAGTTTAGAAGCTAGACGTTTCAACTCATTATTAATAAATTATTCTAAAAGAAAAATATGACATTCTTCAATCGAAACCTTGCTCAAGTTTTCTTCAAACTTCACGTTGATATGCATTTATATTGAATTCTCTCTTGAATAATCTAGGTTATTATGTCTTTTAGATGTTGTACATGAGTCTTCGACAATGTTATAGAACTTTTTCAAGCAAGCTCAATATTTTTATATTTTCAATTAGATAAATAAATGTCCTGATATTAAATAAAAATATCATTTGTTTTTATTTCATAATTTCTTCAAAAATCAACTATTAAAGAAAAAAATTAAAGTTTTTATCCATATTTTTCCAATACATTATATTTGATTGATTGCTACTTTTTTGATATCTATACACATATATATAACGACAATTTCATTCGTCAGCGACATAAATTTGCAAAATCGAAACACTAATATTTCTTAACTCAGAACTTTCTAAATATCCTACTAAAAATGCAACCCTAGAAACTATTGTGTTTAGACGAGTTATCATTCAAAAACAAACTAAAGTTAGCGATGTGGTAGAAAAAGAAAGCAGACAAAAATTTTTACTACATATATTTCGATTTAAAAAGAGCTATTAAGAATTGAAACATTATTTTCGAAAACTAAATCATGCAGTTTTTGAGACAACTACTTAACCCATAAAATCTCTGCTTTAAACATTTTCCTGTTTTCAACAAGTTTAGATTTGTCAAAAAATAAAGTTTGGTCATTGTTACCGACGTGCTACAGTAAAAATAGATACATACTTTTTTCAAACAAATATGAAATACAAAAGCTAATTCTAAGTATTTCTTTTTAGTCATTTGACGTGACAAAAGAATCTAGCTTTTTCTTTCAGGAATATGAGATAATCTTTAGAAAACTAATTTTTAAGAGACCTTTTTGCTTAGAGTTCGATCTTGCTAAAAATTTTACTATAGATATAGTTTATTATTTAGAATCTTTTCAAAAATTCTTAGGGTGTAGCTGTCGATATGGCAGGAGGAGAAGCGAAGATCTACACGTAGACTCATCTTAGCTAAATCACAACTTAGGTCTATATCCTATTAGACATTGTCTAGTCTGTACATCCCCTAATTGTGGACAAAATTCGAGCTCAAAAGCTTTTTATCGTCTCGAGAGGTTCCTTCGAAAGTATTTTCATTAGTTCTCAATTGCGCAACAAGTATAAAAATGAAACTGAAGAATTGGCACTGAAAATAGCCAAAATAATAGTGAAAAAATATTACAATTGGAGATATGTTTTAACTGTTATCGAATCAAATATGTTATGGAAAAGTTCCTATGCTTGGAATTTGGTTCGAGATCAATAAAACAGACTTTCTTGGGAGTTGAAAATTAAAATAATCGATTTACAGATTCTTAATCAGAACAGAACAATAAATATATAAATATATTGTCTTGTACTTGGAAAAAGAGTTTTCTGGAAACATTTTTGTAGATCCCTAAGCCTGTAAATTTTATTTTCAATACTTGTTTAATATGTTATATATCATTTTTCTTGAAAAATTTTGTTTTATAAAATAATTAACTGTTGTTTTACAAGATTTATTTGATAAATTGATATAAGAATTGCAAATTCGTTGAGAAAATGCTTCTCTTTCTTCCCGTATCATTTCGTTTATGAACACCAATATAGTTCGAAAAAGGGCTTAATTTTCTATCGATTGATAAATCAATTTTCCTTCTAGAACCATGTCTATAAAGAAATATTAGGTTCAATATTGTGTGCGATTACTTTTACATCGAATTTTGTTAGCTGATTTTTCTGACTTCTGATTTAAAAAAATTTTTTTTTTGTCTTGACTCTTTTTCATGTTTTGAATTAAGATCTTGTAGCTGTTTGTTTTTCTTCCAATGTTCACTTTTTCCCAAGGTTTTATGTGCTTTTGTCGACAATCAATTTCCATATTATAATCCTAAAAAACAAAAACACTTTCTATGTATTCTTTTAAATAAAAAAACACAATCGATTTTTGATACTCGAAGAATACCTTGAAATAGTCGACGAAGTTTTTTAATATTATTAAGATGTTGCTCTTCAACACCTCATTTTTTTACACCATGTACAAATATTTTGACCCTCAGAATTTATTGATAGACCAACAAAAGCATGGTAATTAAAAATTAAAGCAAATAATTTCTCTTCTTTCATCAATCCATTCATCAAAACGATTTCATAATGTAAATGGATCACTACGATTCGACGACAACGACGACGTGTTATTGTATTAGGATCATATTGAAGAAAACGAAGGAATGATGATTAAATACTTAATTACTGATGTAATTATTAGTGTTGGATTAACTTACTGTGTAAATCAATTAGACTTAGCTTCTTTTCTTTGTTACTAGAAAAATACAAGCAAAAATAAGTTTTTTTTCCAATGAAAACATCAACAGGAAGTCGAGTGACCATTCGGACCAATTCATGTTAATGAATAATCAATTGTTGATAAAGCTGTTTGTTATTGAAGATGAAGTAAAGCACACTCAATAGCTGCCATATCTGGTAGTTTAATAGATGGAAATCTATTTGAAAAAAAAAATGTTTCTTTTTATATTTACTTTCTTGGATTTTTTAAACCCATAGATATCATTTGTAATATAAGTCAATCAAGTGGTACAACGTGAATTCCTGGTGTTGAATATTCTTGAAAATTCAAATAATCATGTTCACTATATAAGCGATAGCAAACACCAGGTCCTCTACGTCCAGCACGACTTATATTAAATTGTCGTAAGCGTTGCAGCTTATATTTTCCGTCATATACCATTTCTTTGACTTTTTCAGAATCAATTATAAAACGTATACCATCAGTCGTTACTGATGTTTCAACTATATTTGTTGCTATAAAACATTTACGTACACGTTCATGTAACATGCAAAATACCTAAACGATAAGATCAATCATGGGTAATCAATAAAAAGTGACTCTTGCAGTATTTCTACAATACGTTGACTCGTTTTTATAAACCTTTGGAAATGAATCCTTTTTTACCCCATTCAGGACGGCAGTAACCTGTGGACCCGAGTCCAAAGTTTTATTTTTTTTATCGGATTCGGGTCGAGAAAAACGTGGACCCACAGTTCCCTACAGGACGGGGTTACTTTTGAGAAAAATGACATTTTTTTAAACTTTCCACATGATTTATTTATTTTAATAAGGCGAAGAAAAAATGTCTAGAAGTATTACTGAGTACGATGATGCTACAAACAACCGGAAATACAAAGTCCGATGTTAGATTCAGTGCATTCATGTGTGGAGTCGACCTTGTCTTTGGATCTCATTGTTGTATTTGTACAAACTATGCATTGTCTTTGAGCGTTTTAGTTTGGTCAATGTTGAAGGCATCAATGATAGAAAGTGGTGACTGATAAATCTGATAGGATTATCTTCAGTATCATATCATTATCCCAGCTTCAAAATATATACCTATCGCTTTCATCAAGAGTTCATTTACGTTCTGATCGTTATTGAGTTATCGTTTCTCATCCGCTACGAGCTAGTGGTGGCTACCGCCTTGAAATAAATAATGTGAGGACAGTTTTTTAATGACAAAAGAAAAGAAATACATAGAGATGAGAAGCAATGCTAGGTCAAGATCAGCGTTCTTAAGCAGACCCCAAGAGTATGATAAAAGGCACTTATAAGTCAGTTACGAGTTGAATCAGAGCCATCACACATATTTAAGTGACGTAGCCTCTATAGAGGCTAAAACATTTGCCTTTCAATTCTGTACCTTAAGATCTATTACCTATTTGCCTAAATTTTAATAATTTGTTTTTTATTAGATCAAACAATCGATTGGTTCAATAATTATAGCTTTCTCCTGAAGGGTATGGATGTAAAAAATAACAATAACCAGGCGCATTCTCATTTCTTTACGAAGAAAATACTTTATTCTTTAAAACGTATAATCAAAACTGTGTAAATTCTTATAAACTTATTTCATACATTGATTGCTTTTGATTGAATCTGGTACATATTTGGAAACTCTAGCCTCATACTGTGTAAGAATATTCGATCAACATTCTTTAAAAAAAAAGTACTGCTTCAGAAGCTCCAGAAGTCTTCTTTTGAAAAAAAAATAACAAATTATTACTCTTGTTATGTCAGGAGGAACATCTGATAGAAGAAGGTTCTCTCAGTCGCTCTATACTATCATGGTATCATGTTATTGACATTCTCCCTCCTACTTCTATAGTGTTTTCATTCTACAAATAAGAAGAAGGTATAGAATGGAAGAAGAAGAGAGAACAAAGCGCATATTTTGTTGCTTGTTTATGGTTTAATGTTCTTTTCTATATATGGAAGAAGGATCGAAATAATAATAGTGAAAACCGAGAAAAGGACCTAACAACTCTATATTAGCTATTGTCAAACATAGAAAACAAGTTCACAGCTCATTCGATGTCAAGTAAGAAGTCCTTGAATTGTCTTCAATGTATTTTTCACCATCAGAATGAAATGTTCATCTTGAGGTACGATTATTTCGTACAGTTCTAAAGCTCTCGTATAGTAATTAAGTGCTTCATAATAATCTCCGATATTAAAATACACAACTCCATGGCTGTGCAGACTTTGTGCAAGGAATATATGATTATAGGTGAGTGTCTGTTCGAAGATCTCCAAGGCATTTTTATGATAAATCAACGCTTGACTATTGCCATGCATGTTCACTAGTGTACGACCAATATTATACAAGCTGATACCGATCCGTATGTTATTCGCCGAAAGGTAGCTCTGTCTGATATCCAAGATCTTCCGATAACAATCTAAAGCATCATTGTACTCTTCTTTCATATCATAAACATATCCAATATCATGTAAGATCAAAGTACTATCTTGAATTCGTCCATCACTAATTATTAATTCATAGGCTATTTGGAAATTATCTAGTGCCAATTTGTATTTACCTTTTTGATAGAGCATAAATCCATAATACTGATGAATAAGAGCATCATCTTCATTCTTCAAATTGTCAATGTATTTTTTTGCCATCGAAAAACCCTTCATTTTCAATAGTAAATCACCCATTATAATAGGTAATCTCATTCGCTCCATGATCTCTTGTTGTACAGTAATATAATTTTGCGCAATTTGTACTTTCTCATGATTAAAAACCAAAAGAGTAATCCAGATTCCCAGCCTAACATCGAAATGAAGTGATTTCAGTTCAAATGTAGTACCTAAATTAACGATTATTCTAGTTGAATCGATTCCATGAATCGCAGATGAACACATATTGCTTATTTCGAAGACTACTGTCTTTTGTGAGTCACTTTGGTATGATATGATTTCGTTGAATGACTGATGTACAAGTAAAAATCCACTGAAGGTTATTAGTTGACCAATATTTTCAATTAACTTTTCAAATTGAGTTTTTTATACGATCAATATACAATAGAACTGTTTAATGGAAGATATTTCTTTCAGAGTCGAACTTATACCACAAATAAAGAAATTTAAAGATTTCAATTGTTCTATGTCGACTGTATGAAATGCTTTGGTAAGTAGTTTGGAAATAAAACAAAGTTTCGAATAATATTCATGGGCATTGTGAGGATTGTATGTCTTTTAATATTGTTAGGTATTTTCGATTTCTATGGTATTTCGAAAATAATATTGTCGACAGTCTTGAATGAATGAACTTTTGTCTGTTTAGCTGTTCTGTCATCAATAGATCTTTCAATAATAAATTCCACAGAAACATGTCGTTCTCCTTTGTTAGTTTTGTGTGTATCATCAATATCTGTTGTGGATTATAAAATCCGAATCGCAGTGCATATGGTTGTTCGGTGCTTGCCTGTATTTTTTCCAATAATAATGGTTCTTCTGTAAAGGTATCAATTAGTTTCGGGTATCTTTTCTTGAGATGTTCGTCGACATATTGTTGCGTAGAATTGGGAAAGAATAAGAAAAATAGATTCTTCATTGATTGATTGCACATAGGTCAATAGTTGAGACTTTACTCGATAAAACAGCACATAGTCATTCATAGTACGATACACGTCATCCGTTAGATTGTTCATAGAGTGACTAGAATCGAAAACAATTAATGTTACACTTTCTTTATTGATCGAAGAAGAGTTCGTTGCATGCGAGAGAATTTGATCTTCGACAGACGAAGTTGTCATGAGCTAGAAAGACAAGTTTAGAAAAACAAAAAAAAATGAGAATAACATCAGTTCTACTTCGGTCTTTCTCGATGAGTGATCATAATATTTTACAAGATCGTTCAATGTCATATCGAGATTGGGTGTACTTGTTAATAGATCCAAGAATCGATACGATACGCTCGAAGTATAAGGATGATATGCTTCATGATCTTGAGAATTCAAGGGTGTTGGGCATCTACGATCTCGTAGAAGGTTCTGAAGTGGTCCAGTAGGATGATTATCAATGATCAAACGTTGTTGACTCGATGATATGTTCACTGATGATTCATTGAAATAGGAACAAGCGGACAGCGGTAACCAAGAAGTTATTAGACCATTTTGAACGCTACCAGCTGGCTGAATTAAATCATTGAAAATATTTTGTGCTGGAAAAGATTCCGTTTCATTTATATTTATAGTCATTGTTTGTTCCAAGTTCGATCTATCTATGGCAGTTAACCTCTGTTTCATGAGCGTGCTCAGTGCGATAAGACCATCAACAAAATCACATACGAAGCACTCGGCTATTTCTTCGTCCCATATGGATGGTAACCAGTGTTGCGACCTTTTGAAGTCCAAAAAGCAGAAAATAGTTTATAAAAAGCAGAAAATGACAGAAATTTTATTACTGAAAAACAGAAAAAAAGCAGAAAGCATATTTTTTGTGATGTAAACGATTTTAAAACTTTGTTCCAGTGTACTAATGAAGAATTTTCATATCAAATTTTGATCTCTCTTGTACAGAATCATGAAAAATAGTCAATCCATAAAGAAATAGTATTGTACAAGGTCAAGAAATACAACTACTTAATTGACAAATAGAATTATTAGATACATTTTCTATTGACTACATATTTGTCATCTGGTTAAGTAGCTTTTAATAAATCTTGATTATCTAATAAATATTTACACATCTTATTCATGATAAGGAAAACTTTAAACGTATTGTTAATACAGGCGATATAAGTTTTCTTCTCATGCAGTCCTTTGATCATATAATAAATGTTTCAATTATGAGAATGCTGAGTCAGCATACGCATTTCCACATGATAGAGAATAAAACAAATATATGAACTTTTTAAAATGTGGTGATTGAATGAGAGGAAAAATAAACACTCGTAACTGATCGGATCTGACAATTTTGTTCACTGTTGAATTATCATCATTTAGAATAGAAGATAAACATCAATAACTATTAGGAATGTATTGAGAGTGAAGATTCTGTAAGAAAGATGAGAAATTTTGTTTTGTCAGAATTGCCCCAAGATCCAATCAAATTTTTATTTAGAATTATTTAGCTTGATTTCATCTAGCTATGCATACAACCAACCAGACCGATAAGAAAGTAAAAGGTTTAATATCAGTCAATCTGTTTGATTGTACGCACAGCTAAATGAAATCACCTTCAGCAATTCTCCATAAGAATCTCGTCGAGTTTTGTGGATTTTTGCAACAGAGAAGTTGTTATCCTTATTAGGCACTATTCATTCTCAATACATCTCTAGTAAGTATGGACAAGAACTTTGTTATAATGATGAAAAAATCTTTTAAAAGCAAAAATCTTGATTAAAAATATAAATAATACAGTGTTTTAAAAAAGCAGAAAAATGCTCAGAAAGCAGAAATGACAGAAAAAAAGCAGAAAAATCTTCAAAAAGCAGAATTTTTCTGCTAAAAGCAGAAGAGGTGGCAACTCTGATGGTAACCAAGTGGTTTGATCAGCTGTCAAGAATAAACGCTTAAAGGTACTTCAGTTCTGTTGATTATCACTATCGAGTGCTCAAAATTGATTCAAAATGTAGAGAAAACCTATGGTGTCACCTTCGCCTTGATTTTCTATTGGTGCATAAATTCAATCGTCTCTTAACAATTGATAATCGTTCACTGCAGCTAAAATATCTTTCACGGTTATATTTCCTAGCCAGTGTTCCGTTTTTTGTTTTCGTTTAACCATAAATTCTTTCTGTTTAGTGTAAATGTCAAGTTTAATATTCTCATTGAGGCGAACATCATTTTCTAAAGTAGACAGTGCGAGAGCTAACGACGCCGATGAACATGTTTTAAATAGATTAAAACGATCGATAAAAGAATGTGAATAACAGTCATCACATAATAAAGATTTGACATAGTTCGACCATTCTCTTACCATGAGACCAGCAATGACTTGATCATCATCAGTCTCAGAACATAGATCATTCAAATTGTTCAATTCCCACATGCATAGCACTGTCGTTTTGACAAAATAGGATGGTACAATGGTTTTTGTATGATCTTCGACACACGATACTTTCTTCAGATGTCGATAATAAATACTTCGTACAACATCATTCAGAATTTGTTCAACTCGTGTGCGATTCTTAGCTAATAGACATTCAATCGCTGAAAATGAATATCGGAATTCGAGTTCTTGATCTATTTCTGGCGTTTTACCCGACCATTTCGGTATGAGATGTATGAATACTTGGTCATGAATTATTTCGTACAATCTCGGTCGAAATTTTTTAATTCTATGGAGAAATATCTGCATATGATTGGGCCAAAAATCTAATTTTAAAGCCGGTACAAAATCAGCATCATTGTTCATCGATAATAGTCCATATTCGATGTGATCTTCCAAATTGGATGCATCTCTAAGACGCTTATACTTTTCATAGAATTCAAGTTGAACGTTCAATCGTACTTGATTGATCGGTGGTATTCGGATTTGATGCATAGGAAATGTTAAACTAATGGATCGACCATAGGTAATACACTTTGCGAAATCGATTTTCGTAGCATATTGCAAACTGTGAAATATTTCGATTGGAATTATTCGACATTTGCTTGTACACGCATTCGTCGAATGAAATTGAGTATAGCTTCGAATTGTTCACCAAGTGATGTAGCTTCGTAGACACTCTCATATCTGACTTCAGTACTTGCACATGTACTAGCTGTTGTACATGTTCCAATCACTGTCGATCTTGAAAACAATGAGCATTCATCAACACCACAATACTTTTCTTTCATTTTGAAACCATTGATAAATAATACTCCATAATGATTTGCTTTGATCGAGAACGATATTTTTGTATGTTTTTCAATAAAATTTTCGTTATATTTCACTTGAACAAATCCGACTGCATTTTCTAGTCGGACCAAACAATTCGGTAGCTTTATTGTTCCTTCAACAAACATGAAGTCAAGATCTTGGATCTCTTGTTGCGCCAGGTGACGTGCATAAGCACTACCTTCTAATGTGCTACCAGTCAAGAACGTTGTGCTATTATACTTGGATGTTGTCGTTATTTTTGTTTTGCTTGAGCGAATAAACATATGCTTGCTGGAATTTATACGTAGAAATGAATGAAAAAGAACGGAAGAAGAATAGCACTGTAAGTGTCTAGAGAGTTTGTTGTTATTTTAGCTTAAAGTGAGCAAGACTCTTAAATATAAAAAAGATCAACAAAAAAACGATTGCTGCTTTTATCTCTGGGTCATAAAGCGAAGTCGAACAAAATCTGAATTCGGTGATTTTCTAACAAACAAAAGTAATCTAATCTTCAAGATTTTAAATTTACAACAAGATCAGTTGTATTAAGCAGGCAAACGCATAGGTGTTGAAGTAAGCTGTGAACGATTTTTTTTCATGATAAAGGGCTAACATTTCTATGATTCTACTCCTAATCTATTGAACTACTCGAGCATGTTTTTTTTTTAAAGTTGTCTTTCAAATTTTCTGGAAGACGTTCACAAGTGAAGGATGTGATAGAAAAATAAGTGCAGAAGCAGTTGGATAATTCAATTCTGAGAGTTAGAACAATTGTTTTTTTCTCGCTTCCTGTCGAATAAATCAGTAAAATGACTTAGAAGCGCAGAAAAAAAAATTCCTCTTGATTCATTTCTTTCCAACATAAAGCATAATAAGCATGATGAATGATGGGCTACTGTGAAACATTCAGTGGCGTATATTATCTCACACAAATTTGAATTCTAGCTTGTAGGATGTCAGTGGACTATGTTAATGATAGAGTTGTCTCTGATGAGCGTGTGCACATAGACATGCGTACAACGTTACGTCCCATTCGTTCTGATTCTTGAATCAACAACTACTTGAATCGATGTTTATCAAAAAGTACAAGAATATACCAGATGAATAAGCAGACTAGTTATAAAAAAAGCCTAATTTGCAGATTTGAACTATAGAAAAGAAATGCTTTTATTTTGCATCTGTTGTGGTACTTGTTGGCTTACTCTGTAAATTCGATTTTCCGGCTTTCAAGCAATCATCGCACTCCATGTGTGACTGCCAATAGAGCGAAGAAAACAAAAAATATGTACATTTTTCTTGGCGCAGAGCATAAAAAGAAAACTAAATTCACATAAGTTTTTTTTTCTATATTACTTTTGTCAATGCAGTTACTTTGAATGTAACAAGGAATATAAAGAATGAAGAAAAAGATTCTAATTGATAGGAGTGTGAAATTCTTGTTGTACAATCGATCTGGAGACTAGTCAATGCCTCTTGCCTACCTTGTCATTGGATGGTCTTGACCGTATTGAAACAAATGAAAATATAGCTTCAGATTTTTATCTCACTGCGGTTGTATAAACTTTGTTCGATTAGGGTGGGTGTGGATGAATGTGCATCTTGTATTACATTACACATCCACACCCCACCCCATAAGGAAAATCTTATGCGATCAACCGATCTTCG